CAGAGCCACTGGCGGGTTGGAAGCAGTGACTTTTGGTTTAGCAGTTGAGCACTTAACCATTGCACCAGTAGGGCCCCTTAGACTGAACTAAACATTATTAAAGGCATTGGGTGTATTTTGGTGAGGAAAACCACGCTCCTGACTCACAAAACTTATGGTCTCCTGGAGGGGTGATAGACTATAAACAACTGAAGAAATAGCAATTTAGAGAAGTGTCAGACAGAAGATAGGGTTGAGTGACAGAGAATATTTAACAGGAGAGGAGCTAGTTCATTAGGTGCTTAGTGAAGGCTTGTTGGAGGAAATAGGTTTTAAGCTTAGACTCAGAGGACGAGAAGGGGTCAGCCATGCAAAGAGCATGGGGCAGAGTTTTCTAGGCACATAGATGAGTGAGTGGCAAGACTCAGGGCAGAAAGAAGCTTGGGTGTTTTCAGAACTGAAAGAAGACTGGTGTGGTTGCTTGCATCAGTGCATTTATGTGTATGTGTTTGTGTGTGTAGCAGGGGGGTGGGAGGAATTTGGAGAAAGTGGCGTAAGATTATAGGTTAGAGAAGTAAACGGATGCCAGATGATTCAGAGCCTTATCAGCCAAGGTAAGACATTGGATTTGGAAATAAGTCTGATGGAGCAGGAGAGGGGGAGGAGGGTGACAATAAAGTTTTTAAGTGTAGAGAACCATTATCTGATTTAAATTTTTAAAAGCCCCCTTTGGCTGCTTTAGGAGCCCTGGTGGCACAGTGGTTAAGAGCTCGGCTGCTGACCAAACGGTCGGCAATTAGAATCCACCAACCACTCCTTGGAAATGCTATGGGGCGGTTCTACTCTGTCCTATAGGATCGCTCTAAGTTGGAATTGACTTGAGGGCAACATTTTTTTTTTTTTTGCTGCTTTATGGAGCATGAAATATGTGTGAGCTTGTGCCTGAGGATTTGTGTCTGTGGCTAAAAATGGAAGCAATGAGGCCAGTCAGAAGGATATTAGAATTATCTAGGCAGAAGATAAAATTAAAAAAAAAAACAAAAAAACTTTACACCTCAACTTAAAACAAAAATCTTCACAACTAGGACAATAAACAACATCATGCTAAATGGAGAAAAGTTTGAAATTTTCAAGAATTTCATTTTACTTGGTTCCACGATTAACACCCATGGAAGCAGCAGTCAAGAAATCAAATGATGCATTGCATCAGGCAAATCATCTGCAAAAGACCTCTCAAAAGTGTTAAGAAGCAAAGATGTCACTTGAAGGACTAAGGTGCGCCTGCCCTAAGCCATGGTGTTTTCGGTCACCTCATATGCACGTGAAGGCTGGACTATGAATAAGGAAGACTGAAGAAGAATTGATGCCTTTGAATTATAGTGTTGGTGAAGAATATTGAATATACCGCGGACTGCCAAAAGAATGAACAAATCTGTCTTGGAAGCAGTACAGCCAGAATGCTCCTTAGAAGCAAGGATGGTGAGACTTCATCTCACATACTTTGGACATGTCATCAGGAGGAACCAGTCCCTGGAGAAGGACATCATGCTTGGTAAAGTAGAGGCTCATTGAAAAAGAGGGAGAACCTCAATGAGATGGCTTGACACAGTGGCTGCAAGAGTGGGCTCAAGCATAACAATGATCATGAGGATAGCATGGGGCTGGGCAGTGTTTTCTTCTGTTGTACACAGGGTTTCATTGTATCGTTTACTATGACCAAGTTTTTGAGAGGATCAGGCTTCAGGGGGTGATCTTGTTCACTTTTAGACACCTAGCACCAAACTTATTGCAAGATTGATTAACTCATCAAACACTTATTTAGCTTTACCATATTCCAGATGTTGTACTAAGTGTTAAGGATATCTGGTGTCCCTATGCTTATGGCATTGCAGAGATTATAGATTTTAGAGTGCTAGAAGGGACTGTATTCAGGAATGATCTCCGAATGATCAATCCTCATTGTAAAGATGAGGAGTAAAATTTGAACCCCTTAATTTATCTGTAAATATCAAAATTCCTCCAAAAATCCAAACCCACTGCCGTTGAGTCTATTCCTACTCACAGCAACACTATAGCATGGAGTAGAACTTCCCTGAAGTGTTTCCAAGGCTGTAAATCTTTATGGTAGCCACCTGTCACATCTTTCTCTCAAGGAGCAGCTGGTGGGTTCAAACTGCTGACCTTTTGGTTAGCAGCCAAGCGCTCTAACCACTGAGCAACCAGGGCTCCTCTGCTCTATAAGTCATGTTATTTTAGGAAAACTTAATTTTACTCATTTAGCAATAGCTGTGGCATTTTTTTTCCCCTTAGGGGTATGATACAATCTGTTTTTATTTCTGTTTTAATTAATTGTTACAATTAATATTATTAAAACTTTCTGTTGCATTATGAACTCATAAAGATATAAGCTTTATGTCCAAGAGTTCGGTGGGCAGTGATGTCATTGGTTTTAACTAGACTTATAAAAAACATACACAAGAAAAATCATAAACCATGTTCTTACATGCACACGTTTTTTACTGAGGCATTAGTAGTGAACAATAGGAGAAGTGGCCACTTGTGTTTTTTATATTATTGATGGTAGTTTGATAACTACTTTCAAGCATTTTAGAGAGGTTTTTTTCAAATTTAGTAGAAAAAAAAAAACAAAAGAAAGAATTTGTTGTTGTATAATGCATTCGTGTGTGTGTGTGTGTGTGTGTGTGTGTGCGCGAGATGTATTTGTTTTAAGGTCTTATTCAACTTTATAAGTTAGGATGCTTGGTCAAAGAATAAATAAATGGAATTGGAATAGCAAGCTGTGTACATGTGAACAATTTAAATACCAACAGACAAAACCAGATTATTTAAGGTGGTCTAAAAAGTATACTTATTATCTAAATTATATTATGGTATTTATTGTTCATTGAGAGTGGGCTTTTCTTGGTTCTATTCACAAGGTCAAATATTGTGTAAGAAAAGAGATGAAAATTCGTGCCTTAAGGGCATAACAATCTTGAAGCATCAGGCATGATCTGATATGCACACACCTGAGTTTCCTGCAGTAAGCTGTTAATGTCCTGGGAATACCCCATAAAGCAAAGGATGTTTCAAGATGTTTTGTAGACTAGGTGGACTATTAATTAGAAGAGTGTTTCAGTACAAAAAAAAGAGGGAGGAAAAGGATGTTGAATGAGACAGAGAGTAGTGAAGCGAACCTATCTGAAGCTTAAGAGCAGTTTAAAGAGTTGAAGATAAAAGCAAAGATGGAGATAGACTTGAATCACAGTCAATGGAAGATGCAAAATTACTAAGACAGTTGAAATTAAAAATAGGAAGTAATTATAACCAAAATTTTTGCTTTATTCTTGCAAATGGGTTGGCAAAACTAAATTAAAAGAAACCAAAAAAAATCAAAACAGCTGCCGTGGAGTCAGTTCTGACTCATGGAGACCCCAGGTGTGTCAGAGAAATGTGCTCCATAGGGTTTTCAATGGCTGATTTTTCAGAAGTAGATCGACAGGCCTTTCTTTCAAGATGTCTCTGGGTATATTCCAGTTGCCAACCTTTTGGTTAGCAGCTGAGTGCTGCACCAACCAGTGACTTTCTCAAAGAAATTAGAAGACCGACAATGGAACATTTGACCCTGCACCTTCAAGGAAGGAACAAATAAATATCCAAGGGCTGACGATGGAAGGTTCGTGGAATTTATAACTGTTGTAGTTTTTGTTAGTTGCCGGCAAGTCAATTCTGACTCATGGAGACTCCATGTGTAGAGAGTAGAACTGTGCTACATTGGGTTTCCAAAGCTGTGACCCTTTGGAAGCAGATTGCCAGGCCTGTCTTCGGGGGTTCCTCTGGGTTAATAGTTGAGTGCTTAACTGTTTGCGCCTACCAGGAACTCAACAGAATTTTATATATATAAATTGATTGAAAAATCAGTGGTGAAAATAAAAACTAGAAAGAAAGACTACTTGTCTCCTGGAATCAATTAGAAAAAAAATAAAATAGAGGCTTTGCGTATGCGTAAACAGGAGTAGTCCATGTTTTGTTAATTAATTTGTATCCTTGTAAGCGTACTCTGCACTCCTCAAACACAAGTGAGAGAGCAGGCTGCTCACTTCCTGAGTGAATGCTTAGAAATAAACATTACCAAGAATTTGGAGAAAACCTTTGGGACAGGAAAATTTCTTTTTACTCCTAACCACTCATCTCTGGCTGTCTCTGAAAGCCTACCACTTCCTCTCTTCTTACTGTGGCACTTAAGCTTCTCATCTGTTGATTAACCTTTTCCCTATGATAAACCCATATTATCGCTATGTATATTATATATGGCCTTATACAGAACCTTAAAATACTCTTCCCCATGTAATTGACTGGAGTTTACCATTTACTCCTGAAGGTTGAGGGTGGATGTAAGGAGAAGGAAATTTGATTTGCCAGGCAGATTTTTTTTTTCCTCTAAACTTTTTCAGCTGTACTAATTCCTAATCAGCCAAAGAAATTCTTAAGGGGCTAGTTTGGGGTTAGGGAGGCAGATGCATCTTGGGAAATTTTCACATATGCAAAACAAATGTCTTCCATTGAAGTTTTTTAAATAGTCTCTTTAAACTTTAGCATGTGTCAGGCTAGGGCTTGCTCAGATAATCAGAGGCCCGCAGAGACAGGCGAATCAATGCACACAGACACTGGGGTCCATTATGATGAGCATCAGGCTTTTGTTGCTTGTTTTAGTTTGCTTTCAAAAATTGCTTCTTAACGTATTACCTACAGAACTTTCCCATTTCTTTAGCTCTATTCAGAAAAAAAAAAAAAAAATCATCACCTAGTTCACTTAAGAAACCAGGAAGACAAGAAAAGCTCTCCAAGTTTTCTTGGGCATGTTGCTGTCAGGTCTGTGGCTTGATTCTAGAAATTTGGCAAGTGAGCTGGTATACATTTTTTATCTTCTTCCCCTTTATTTATGGACAGGTAAGGTTTAAGAGGAAATGGAGTATAGCAGAGCACCTCATTCTTGCCTTTTCTCCTTGTTTGCTAAATAGGGAAGTCCATCAGCTTGATAATGGAGGAGAACAATGACTTTGGGGAGAACCCCCAGCAAGGCCAAGGGCAGCAGAGTGGCATGAAGTGTGGGTGGCTGAGGAAGCAAGGAGGCTTTGTCAAGACTTGGCATACCCGCTGGTTCGTTCTCAAGGGAGATCAGCTCTATTATTTCAAAGATGAAGAAGAAACCAAGCCCTTGGTAAGTAGAAAAAAATAAAATGCATTGTAGGCCTGAGGAATCCAAGCAGCAGAAGGATTTGCTGGAAACCAATGGAGATTGAGGCTGTCCCAATCTCCTTGGCTCTTACTCAGTTCATTGGCATTTTTTGCACTTTTTCCCATTGTTTGCTTTGGTTGAGAGTTGGTGAACTTGCTAATTGAGGCTAAGCAGCGCATTATACTTGTCTAATATAAATTTTAATTTTTACTAAGCTCAAATAGAATGTCTGAGTCACTTGGGAAAACTTCTTTCATAAGACAATTTTAATAGACATCTGCTAGAAGACATATATTGTAGCCAAAACATCTTTTCTTCTCTCAGGAATACACTGAAAGCAAAAATTTGAAGGAATACTATAAACACAACTTTCAGTAATTTCTGAGACATCTTCAGCAGCAATTCTCTAGGGCTTCCCTCCACCTTAACAGACGTAAAATATAGATGTGGTGCTAAACTGTACTTGATACATTCAACTGGGATGCACAATATAGTCCTCTGAGAATAGGCTCTATGCTTTTTTGTGGTTCCTTAGCAGTCTTTTCTTTGCTTTCCTACTTACCGTTTTCTCAGCCACAAGTCTCTAGACTGCAGTGAGAGAGAGGAAAAGTCATCTCTCCTTGTAGCTCTAAATAAACTCTCTCCTCTGTGATCATTGCTTATCAACTCATGAAAGGAGAATTCCAGCGGAGGCATCACCTCTGTGCTTACCCTCCATCCACATCCACACGGTACTGGTAAACCACATGTTACATGAGTTTACATAAAATCTCTAACAGAGTGTTCCTGAGACTATTTCCTCTGGTGTTAAATTCACAAACGTAATTAGGGGCTGGATCAGGGCTCTGCTTTAGTGTTTTAAATTCCTGAAGCATTTTAGTTTCACCAGCTTCTCATTCCTCTCACTAAATTAATTAACAATAGCAACGACAGTACATGATACAAACCCTGATTGTTTTTTGAAATTGCTACAGTTTTTGAGCTTTTACTAGGGCCAGACATCAGGCTAAGAATTTACATGTATTATATTATGACATGCTTGAAATAATCCTATCAGGTAGATACTACCATCCCTATTTGTGCATGAAAACCAAGTGTTAGAACATTATGCAGATTACTCAAATGTAAACAGATAGTGGAGCCATGATTTACATCTAGGTAGGTTGAGTTCATATGGGCTCTGCCAAAGACCTCACAAATAAACTAATGAGAATATCCCATACTGGTGTCACTTAGGATAGTTAATGGTGTATTTCTGTATTTGTTACTTAATTTGGCATAACAAACCAGTAGGGAATATGAGGATTATCATTACAGTTGAAAATATTGTGGCTTAGAGATATGGTATGACATGTTCAAGGTCATATAGAGATAAGAGGCAAAGCTGTGGAATCTTTGTCCCTTATCTCACAGTTCAGGGTTCTTTTTGATTGTACCTTGTTTAATGCTCCAAATTAAGTATTATCTTGAACATAAAATCATTTTTTACCAAACTTAGAGAAAGGGATCAGATGAATGTGAAAAAAGGTAGAACCTGAAGCAGGTGCTTAAATGATCCAGAGTGGGGATTTTGACAACGAGCAATGCATTGGACAGAAAAGATTCAATGTTTTCTCATATAAACTCTTATTCTGGCTTGCGGGGGTGGGGGCGGGCTGTGTTGTTAACCAGAATGACTACAAATTAAACAATTAAGTAGACATGACCCAGGATGAATACAGGGGATGAGATGAGCAAACAGAGGGTGCAGAAGTCTAGTCAGTGGAGAATTAAAAGCAACCAAACCAATATTTTGACTGTTTGGTGAGCTTAGCGTATCTTCTAGTCATGAAGGTAAGGTACAATGGCTTAAGATCAAGTACATTATTTCTCAAATTTGAGAACTTGCAGATGACATAGAATATGCAAATGAACCTCAGTTTGAGGAACTTTGCCCTAAACTGTCCGAAGGAGATATTATCATATTATATTGATCTGCTAGTCTATACTATTTATTTTTGAGATCCACAGGATCATAGTACATAGCACAATGCAGCTGTTGTGGTTTGATTAAATACTGGCAATATAAACAAGAATAGGCATAAACTACTGATTAATTCAAATAAATATCTGCCTCCATATGAAAATTACTTTTAATTCATAATGTTTTTAGAATAAATAGTATTTTGATATTAATATGTCACTAATATATGTAGACTTATAATAACTAAAATTAACAAAATAGTAGTATTGACAAGAAGGTATTAATTCTTATATGTAGTAATTCTTACACTTTCTTTCCCCAAAAACTTTCTTAATTGTTCTTTCTACATATTATTTGTTAAATGTCTGCTATTAATAAGGCAGTAAAAAATCGGGGGGAGTAACTTTGGATTTTTTTTGTTTGTTCTTTTGGATCATCTTTTATGTCCATTCAACCCTTCCTAACTAGCTAGAAATGTTCAATAAAACTTAATCTGTTTTTGTTTTTTCTTTGTTTTTGGCTTCCAGACAGTGAAAGAAAGATAGTGAATCAACTGATTAATGTACCTCTAAAATGAAAGTATTGCAGTCCTTGAAATTTGTGTCCCTCCTGTCCAGAATTTCATCATAGAAAACTTATGAATGTAGCCAATTTTTGAGAAAAAAAAAATAATATATCCATGATCTCTGTCACTCATAGGTCAGCATTCTAAACATTTTTCCAGTTTTTGGATAATTTTTTTCTATTTTTATTTATTTTTTTAACTTTTTTTTTCAGAACCTTGAATTATTAAATTTGTACTGTTTTTATTTATTTATTTATTTTTATTG